CTCAACTGGCCCTCGATCAATTAGGGTGGATAAGCTTGGAAGAAAGGCGAAAACATAATATGGCCCGTCTCATGTTTAAGGTTGTCAATAATTTGGCACCATCGAGGTTCTCATCAATGTTCCAGAATTCTAACCATATCCACAGTTATAATTTACGAGGTTCAAATTCGTCTCTCTTTCTGCCACAACCAAATACCGAGTATGGCAGAAAATGTTTTCGATATAATGGGGTTAAAATCTGAAATAGCATTCCTGAACAAGTAAGAAACAGCGAATCTTTAAATTCTTTCAATAGAAATATTTCCTCTGTTAGTCTGACGAATTAGCTATTTGAGTTTTGTATACCATTTGTTTTGTAATATGTATTTGTATTCGTAGTTCTTAATATTCTTAGTGATTTTGTATTTTATATATTTTTGTAACATTTATCTACGCCCCACTTGGAAAGCAGCTATGGTTGAAGTGGCCAGCGTAGTCAAATAAAGTTTTATCCTATCCTATCTTATCCTATCCTATCCTTTGATTTGATGATCGTACACCTTTGATTTGACGATCGCACACCTTTGATTTGACGATCGTACACCTTTGATTTGACGATCGCACACCTTTGATTTGACGATCGTACACCTTTGATTTGACGATTGTACACCTTTGATTTGACGATTGTACACCTTTGATTTGACGATTGTACACCTTTTATTTGACGATTGTACACCTTTGATTTGACGATTGTACACCTTTTATTTGACGATTGTACACCTTTGATTTGACGATTGTACACCTTTGATTTGATCAAAGGCCCGTGAACTTTTAACAGCGGTTGTACAAATACAACCATCTAGCGCTTCAATTTTGGCAAAATGGCGTCCCCAAAAGATATTTTGCGGGATTGTGCTAATAACATTTTAAGATGCATACAAGGTAAGCGATTATTAGTGTATTTGCTATCATTCAATTGTTTATGTGAAATTCTTTAAGGTGATGACTATTGTTTATACACAGAACAATTTTTAATGCAAATTGTTTTGTGTGTTTATTGTAAATATTTAATAATAATACACGTGTTTATACATTAACATTTGCATATTTAAAAGTCGTCATTCCGTGCAACATTAATTTTAGGGATTGTTTATTAGGTCATGTAGTAAAAAGCGAAACGTAATACTATTAACCTATACAGAAAGTCTTCTTTATTGTTTTTGTTTTCTGTACATAAATTCATCTCTATTGTACATATACAAAATACTAACCTATTCATTGGCGTACGAGTCAAAGGGCAACTGCCCCCCCCCCAAAAAAAAATATTTTGAAAAACCATGGAAATTCGGGCAAATGCCAGGAAAAATCAAGACAATTTGGGCAGATTTATCAGAAAATATGTTAAAATCAGATTATTTCACTACAATACTCCATAAAAATATAATTCAGGCAAACTTTCAACTGCCCCGAAAAGATCAGTCCTGTTCCCATGAACCTATTCAGAAAGTCATCTCTATTGTTTTTTGCGTAAGGCCAAAAAAAAATGTGGGTTTCCGGTTTCCCGACCCTACCTAGCTTTTGGACGCCGAAATCCCGACCCTAAACTTTTTTTGAAAAATGGAAATTTGAGGCAATATTAGGGAAATTTATCTTTGAATGTGGTAGCACCGGCTAAACAAAATGGCGTCCGGTTGTTAGGAAAATTTAAAAAAACGTTAAAACCGACCTACCCTGCTTAAGTTTTTACAAGAAAAATTAGGAAACCCACATATTTTTTTGGCCTTACGCAAAAAACAATAGAGATGACTTTCTGAATAGGTTCATAGGAGAATGGGACTGATCTTTTCGGGGAGGGGGGGGGGCAGTTGAAAGTTTGCCCGAATTATATTTTTATGGAGAATTGTAATGAAATAATCTGATTTTAACATATTTTCTGATAAATCTGCCCAAATTTTCTTGATTTTTCCTAGCATTTGCCCGAATTTCCATGGTTTTTCAAATTTGTTTTTGGGGGGGAGGGGCAGTTGACTCATACGCCTATGAATAGGTTAGTATTTTGTATAGGTACAATAGAGATGAATTTATGTACAGAAAACAAAAACAATAAAGAGGACTTTCTGTATAGGTTAATAGTATTACGTTTCACTTTTTACTACATGACCTAATAAACAATCCCTAAAATTAATGTTGCACGGAATGACGACTTTTAAATATGCAAATGTTAATGTATAAACACGTGTATTATTATTAAATATTTTTCAAAAACTCAATAATTTATGAGGAAAACACAAAGAGAAATCATAAGCGTGGCGTGTCTTTGTATGTGATAAAACACGCTTCAACTTGTATTTTCTCAGCTAATACAAAGTTATTTTGGAAAATTAATATTTCGCCAATGCCGTGATCTAACTGAGACGTTTTTGAAGCTGTTTAATAAACTCGTAGTTCGTGTTTTATCACATATAAAACACTCCGCTACGCGTCGTGTTTTATATGTGATAAAACACTCCTACTCGTTTATTAAACAGTACATAATAAACACGGAATTTTAATTTTCCGGCACAACAAATCAACAATTTGCATTAAAAATTGTTCCGTGTATAAACAATAGTCATCACCTTAAATAATTTCGCATAAACAATTGAATGATAGCAAATACACTAATAATCGCTTACCTTGTATGCATCTTAAAATGTTATTAGCACAATCCCGCAAAATATCTTTTGGGGACGCCATTTTGCCGAAATTGAAGCGCTAGATGATTGTGTTTGTACAACCGCTGTTAAAAGTTGACGGGCCTTTGATCAAATCAAAGGTGTACAATCGTCAAATCAAAGGTGTACAATCGTCAAATCAAAGGTGTACAATCGTCAAATCAAAGGTGTGCAATCGTCAAATCAAAGGTGTACAATCGTCAAATCAAGGGTGTACAATCGTCGAATCAAAGGTGTACGATCGTCAAATCAAAGGTGTACAAGGTGTACAATCGTCAAATCAAAGGTGTACGATCATCAAATCAAACGTGTGCGATCGTCAAATCAAAGGATCATTATCATATTAAATGTACACTGTAAATCATATTAAACGTGCACAGTCATCGTATTAAATGTGCACATGATCATCTATATTAGACAAATCATCGATTTGTCCAATCTACCGCGCCATGTAGGCGCGGTCGTAGACGTTTGTGGGAGTGGTCGATATACGAATTTTCGATGCGATTCCACAGTTCGGTGACTTTCGTAATATATGGGTGTTTCAAATTATATATGAGTGTTTCATTTTATATATTTCTGTTTCGTTGTATAATTTCGGTTTCGTTTTATATATAGCAATTTCGGCTTACAAAAATAGATTTGAAATTATATATTTGAAATATACATTATATAAATGGACGTAAAGTAATATTATTATACATTTAATATGTATTCTCGTTTCTAATTGGTCAGAAAGCACCAGCTAATTTTCAGTATTCGGCATTTATTACGTATTTTCCGCCGATGACGTCATCAGCGTTCAATAATTGTTTTTTTGGATCGAACTTGCATCCAAAAAAAAAATTATTGGACTCTCTCGTGCCCAAACCCTTGCGCGGCCAAAAGCTTGAACCTATAAGCGCGCGAAAAAAACCCCAAACAAACAATGGCCTACAGCAGATTTGCTTCGCTGAATGAAAGTGAACTCTCCAAATTATTGGCAGATAAGGATAGTGAAAGCACGAAAAAAGCCACAAAGGGGTAAATAGAAGTAGAAATAGAATATTTAGCTGACCTTTGACGTTGTGCAAGCTGTTTGATATTGAAATTGTACTTTTCCTACCTCAAGAACAGGAATCGTTTTATACGTTTCTCATGTCTTTATTAAATGTATAATAAAACAATTATTGGATTCGGCTTTCGCACGATATCAAGAATTATTCAGACCTCGGTCTATGTTATCCGCCTCAGCTTCGCTTCGGCAGATAGCATTGACCTCGGTCGGAATAATTCTTGATATCATGCTCAGCCTCATCCAATAATTGCTTATTGTCCATCTTGGCACACCATATGTTTACACTCTGGCTAGTAAGGTCTGGACAATAGCCGAATGTTTGGTTGGGTTTACAAAATACTTTGTCATTGTAAGGATACTAGCCTATATATAAGCACAGTTGATGTCTGTGTATTGAATCTTTGTATCACCTCGTAAGTGGGTTCACGAAAGTATCACTAATAGATTTCACTGAACTGCCGTGTTTTCTGTGACCGCTACGCGTGCCGTCATTCGCATGTGTCAGGTCTTCACTTTCCTTGATTTCAGCAAGCGGTATTGTTTTTTTCTCCGACATCTTTCCAATGAACATCTACTGACTTTTATCAAGCAATTATATCTGTTGGAAATAAAAACATTGAGTCACACACACTAGTACACGACAAGGCACGGCGAAAACATAACCTCCTGGCGGAGGAAATTAAAATATAGACCAAAACCACCATGCACCGGGTCGACCAGCTAGAACAATATTTAAGCCACGTTTCTGAAATGCTGTTCACCTGAACAGGGTGGACTTTCGTCGACGCTGCATAAAAATAGTGCGGGCTCGTGAGCTTTTTCCCGCGAATTTTGCTTTTCGATGTTTGGGTTACAATTTCTAAAGGTGTTGAAGTTTACAGCATTGTGATTCACCGGTTTTTGAAAGCATCTGGGTTTTTATTGTTGGGGGTTCTAGCCTAACTCTTCAACAACCTAATGACTGTTTTTAAAGCAAAGCAATTGAAAGGAAAACTTATATTTGTTTCGTTAAATGACAGAAAGCACACAAACCAACTACAACGTACCTCGTTTTATTTAGCTAACTAATAAAAAACCTATATACGAAATGTTTACTTGGCTTAAATAGGCTACTAACTAATTATACATGCATGCAAATATTTTTTAATTGTTTTTTTATGAATATTGCAACATCCTCCCTTTCATAGAAAAAGAGATTCTATCCGTTATTGTCTATTTATCTGATAAATAAATAAACGTTTATGATCCCACTAGGTACTATAATCGTCCAAATACTTCGGTCTTTGACTAATTCTACCACTCCGCGTTCGAGTAATTATATTGTCTCTTGTGTCACCAGACAGCATACCGGACTCAGTACTGCTTTGGGCGCCTCGATCTGGATCCGGAATAAGCTCGGGAATGGGATCTATTTCTCCATCAAACCCGCTTGATCCCCGCTCGGCAACTTCAGGTGTTTTAGGTAATTCTTGGATCTGTTGATGATCATCGCCATTTGCAGATCTTGATTTTGCTTCCTTCAAATGTCTTCGATTCCGAATAAGAGTTCGGTCATTCTCTGTTTCGACTTCATAGGACCTGATACCCACTTCTCTTAAAACGGTTGCTTTCTTCCATTCTCGATCCCCAACTTTGACTGGCTGTATCCATACTTGGTCACCTGCAGCCAATGCTGGTAAATCTTTTGCTCCCCAGTTGTAAAATTTCTTCTGTCGTCCTTGACGAGCTCTTCTTTGCTGTTTCGTGTTTTCAATAACTGCTGGTTTTAGCAAACCTTTCGAAATTGGCAAAACAGTTTTGGTCCGCCTGCTCATCAGTCGCTGTGCTGGGCTTGAACTGAAACCTTCTTGAGGAGTATTTCTGAGGTCCAACAAAGCTAAATGTGGGTCTCGTCCAGACATCTTGGCTACTTTCAGGACTCGTTTAGCTTGTTTAACAGCAGTTTCGGCCATTCCATTTGCCTGATGATAATGCGGGCTAGTCATGGTATGCTTCATTCCATAATTCGCACAGAAATTCTTGAATTCTCCAGAGATAAACTGAGGACCTTGATCACTTATTAATTCTTCAGGAATGCCATACCGTGCCAAGTGCGCCTTGAGCTTTCGAATAACGGATACGGCCTGCGTACTGTAGAGGCGGTCAATCTCGAAAAAATTCGAGAAATAATCAACTGTTACCAAATACCCCTTGCCATCGAACTCGAACAAATCTGTGGCGATCTTTCCCCATGGCCGGTCAGGAACCTCGTGACTGATGTGATAAACTGTGAGACATGAACAGAGTTTCAATAACATTTGTTGCGTTTACTTTGAGCCTGATTGCAGGCTGTTGAACCTGTTGCAGGCTAAACACGTGCGATTGGCTTTTACATACGGGAATTTTAGTATAAAAACAACAAGTTTCATATTTTCGATCGAACGTGTATTATCTATCGCGATTCTTCGATTTTTGTTTAAGACTTTCCATATTATTTGATGTCTTATATAATAGTCGATCACCGCGTAATATCAGCCCATCTTGGACCACCAATTCATCACGGATATGAAAGTAGGACCCCACTGCGGCTGGCAGGTTGTTCTTAACCACAGGCCATCCGGACTGTATGACTCTCTTTAACACCTGCAAATCTTCATCTTGATCTGTTTTATCTCGATACATGTTAGCAACATCTTCATTCGCCAACAATTGGTTGATCTCCATGATTTCCTTATGCTCTCCCTGCTCTATCTCCACATCTGCTTCGATCCCATGAAGACTTTCCATCATTGTCTTTCGATGTGCCTTAGGAATAACTAGTCGATCACCGCGTAATATCAGCCCATCTTGGACCACCAATTCATCACGGATATGAAAGTAGGACCCCACTGCGGCTGGCAGGTTGTTCTTAACCACAGGCCATCCGGACTGTATGACTCTCTTTAACACCTGCAAATCTTCATTTTGATCTGTTTTATCTCGATACATGTTAGCAACATCTTCACTCGCCAACAATTGGTTGATCTCCATGATTTCCTCATGCTCTCCCTGCTCTATCTCCACATCTGACAAGTAATTCAGAACATCTGCTTCTCTGGTCTCTTGTACCGCTGTCAGATAGTGTCTACTTAGCGTATCTGCAAGATATAATTCAGTCCTTCTTTTGTATCTCACACTCAGGTCATACATTTGTAGCCGCATCAACATTCTCTGTAATCGTCTGGGCGCAGAAACGAGAGGCTTCGCAAATATGGTTTCCAATGGTTTGTGGTCAGAGTCAACGCATACTGGTCTTCCAAATGTGTATTGATGAAATCGTTCTGCCGCGAACACAATCGCCAAGAGTTCCTTCTCAATTTGAGCGTAATTACGCTCAGTCGAATTGAGTGCCCGACTTGCATAAGCTATTGGTCTGTCATCTTGCAATAAAGCAGCCCCAAGTCCCCCTTCGCTTGCATCACACTGTATGACCAATTCTTTCTCGGGTTCGTAGAACTTGAGTAAAGGCGGTTGGTAACGAGCTCTTTCAACTTCGTGAATATGCTTGGTCATGAACTTGATCCCATACAAGAACAACGTCCTTCTTAGTAAGTTGTCGCAAAGGTTCCGAAACGTCAGACAACTGTGGCAAAAATTTGGCTAAATAGTTGATTGTTCCCATAATCCTTCGTACTCCTTCTACGCTTGTGGGTCTCTCCATCTTAATGATCGCCTCAATCTTGGCTGGGTCAGGTTTCACCATAGATATCTCATATGGGTTTCACCCCTGCAGATGTAAGAACGTGTCCGATGTAAGGAACTGACGTTTGCTTCAGCAAAAATTTCGTTCCATTCAGCTTCACTCCCCGCTCTCTGCATCGATTCAACAGTTGCTTCATTTTGGCGTCATGGTCGGTGATTGCTTCTGCCAATGAGTCGCCATTTCCAATCACCAGAATATCATCAGCGACTGTCTTGACTCCCTCAAGGTCGTCGATCGCTTGATCTAAACGGCTCTGAAATATCTTACCCGCTGGAGAAATACCAAACGGTAAACGTTTCCATTTATACCGACCGAAAGGCGTTCCAAACGTCGTGAGGAGGGAAGATTCTTCATCCAAAGGGACTTGCCAATAACCATTGAGACAGTCCAACTTGGAGAAAACTTTTGCTTTACCAAGCTCAGGTAATATATCTTCAATGGTCTGCATGGGGTGGTGACATCTCTTGAGTGCCTTGTTAAGTGGACGAGGATCTAGGCATAGGCGAATACTTCCATTGGATTTCTTTGCAACAACAATGGAATTTATCCATTCTGTAGGTTGATACACTCTCTCGATTATACCTTTCTCTTCGAGCTCAGCTAGGTGGCTTCTCAATGGATCTTTCATGGACTCAGGTATTTTTCTCACTGCTTGTTGTACAGGTTTCACGTTTTCTTCTAGTTCCAAATGGAGTTTCGGTCCAAGCTGCCCCAGTCCCTCGAAAATATCTTTGTATTCGCTAGTGATCTGTTCCATGGTCAATCCAGTTTGACTTGATTCTGGAGAGGTCAATATGGAATGCGTCGACCTTTCCGTCGGACTTGACTCTGATGACGTCATCGTGGTATGTGAATCCCCTTTCTGGTCTGACTCTGACAGAATTTTCATGTTGTCGTAATTCACATTAACAAGACCCATCTGCTGTGCTGCTCGACTACCTAGAAGATTCGTACAGTTCTCACCGTCTATATCCGTTTCTTCTGGCAAATCCTTGAGAAATGATTGCGAAAACCACAGTTCTTATGTGACTTTCCATATGCTGGGCAGGAATTCTTATCAAATTCATGCATTCCCCCGCAATATTTGCAACGCTTTTTCTCGCGGGATTTTGAAGGGTCACCACGCCGATTTCCTTGATATTGTTCTCTAATTGCTTTGATTTCATGGTCGATTGACTTCTCATTAAGGCTTATCATATTTCGCAATTGCTTGGAAGTCGTCTCACTGCTTCGACAAATATCTAGGGCCTTTGCTAATGTTAACTTTCGTTCTTGTAGGAGTTTCTTTCGAACAGAATTGTCTTTAACACCCAAAACAACCCTATCTCGCAACAGGGTTTCTTTCAGACAAGTACAAAAGTTACACGATTGTGCCAAAGTTCTCAACACAATAATATATTGCTCGATTGTTTCTCCATCTTTCTGATCGCGACTATTAAATATAAACCGTTCATAGGTTTCATTGGTCTCGCCGATAAATGTGGTTTGAAATTGTTCGATAACTTTATTTAGCTTCTGCTTGTCATCGCTATCTGCGAAATGCATTCCTTCATAAACTTCCATCGCCCCGTCGCCAATTACTGACAAAAACAACGCCGTCTTGAAACGTTCGTCGAATCGTTCGAGCCGAGAAATAATTGCATAGTTCTCCCATCCTCGGCGAAATTTCTTCCAATTTGCTGCCATGTTTCCTTCCATCAACAGTGGTTTAGGAGCAGAAATTCCTGTTGGAATTATCGGTATAGACACCGAAGCTTGTGTCGTTTGTTGTATCTTGCCCTTTGGCATTGTACTTGACTCTGGCCCGTTTAGATTTTCCATCTCTTCAGTATCAGACATATTTGCAGCTTCTGTGCTTGTCACTATCCCACACCTGACACCATGTTTCGTTATATGACAAAAAGCACACAAACCAACTACAACATACTTCGATATATTTAGCTAACTAATAATACGAAATGTTTACTTGGCTTAAATAGGCTACTAACTAATTATACATGCATGCAAATATTTTTATAATTGTTTTTATGAATATTGCAACAAATTTCATTTTCTATTTCAGTGGAAGTAACTGGTGATAAAAAGAAACTTCCTGCATCTTGATATTTGAGATAATCATATGGAGACGTTTTTGCACTTGGTATCGCCTCTGCCAATTTCATACCAATACTTGAAAAAAAAACTGTTAAAAGCATTAGCTATGGATCTCTTATCAATTATTTCCTGGTCATCGATGATCAATTTTGAAGGAGCCATCTTGTTTCGGTTATTATTAGCCATGATCTGCTTAATACCACTCCATAATTTCTTATTGTCATTGTTTATAGTGGAGAAGTAATTATTATAGTATTGTTTTTTGCTTATTTTAATTAAATGGTTCAATTTGTTTCTATAATACTTAAATTTCAAAAAATACTTATGTAATTTAGTTTTAATATATTTTTTATATATTGAATTCTTTTTTCGTATTGATATTTGAATGGCTTGGGTTATCCAAGGTTTATCTTTTAATTTAATTTCATTTTTGGAAAGTTTCCTTACAGGAACATGCTTGTTAACAATCTCCTCTACGCGAGTATGAAATGTATCAAACATATCATCAATATTTGTAGTAAGTGACAAAGCTTGATCCCAATCAGTTTGATCAATCTCATCAATGAAACGTCTTTCATTCAATTTGGAATAATCTCGTACATGCACTTCAAATTTGGATTTTTTAGGATGGATTTTTTTAATAATAAGAAAATTTGGAAGATGATCGGTCAAAACATATACCAAATTTCCACTAAATTTAATATATTCAATTGAATTAAAAAAAATATTATCAATTAAAGTTGCTGAATGATCTGTAATTCGCGTTGGTTGCAAAATTTGCGGATGGAAGAAAAAAAACTAGACATTGTTATATCATATTTAACAAATATAGCAGTTCGAAATGTAAACAAAGCGTTTGTTTACATTACGGACTTGACAGCACCTTTAAAATAATTTTGTATATACCAAGAAATCAATATTCCGAGTATATAAATATACTAGAAGTTACTATCGCAAGGAAAATGCTGCCTTACCCCCAAGGGATTAAAGGCAGCATGCACAATTTGCTGAATAAGGGACTGTTTATATCATCCCGCTTTGCCAGGAGATATGAGGCAGGATGATTTTGATGTGCTTAAATAAGCCACGATGCATGATTCAGCAAAAAAATTCACTATTTTCTGGAGGTGGATTATGGAAACTTTTTGAACCACAAGATCTTCTCTACATTTGAACTACTTCTCTACATTTGAGTGTTTTAACTTTTGTTTAGCCTAGTGACTAATATTTTAATACATCAAAATCATCCCTTCTTCCATCATGCAAACAGCCTGTTCAGGAGGTAGGAAAAGTGTGATTTGAATATCAAACATCTTGCACAAAGTCGAAGGGCGGCTGAAAGTTCTAATTCTACTTTCTTGGCATGGGCGGTTTTATATGAGTATCTTCAATGCTTATAACATCTTACTGTTGTATAATTATAATACTGTT